CCTTGGCTGACTCACATCTTGTCTTCTTCCCTCCAGAGTCCGTGCAAGCCTGCGCGACCAGACACTCCACCTCGGCGGCAACTACTGGGCACGCATCTTCTACGATAAGTTCCAAGGCAACAAGAAACGTGTCGAGGATGGCTTTCTAAAGAGTCGCTATCTAGTCAAGGTATGTGTCAGCCTACGTGTCGGACCCGTGCTCACCTCTCCATAGGGCTACATGGTCATCTTCCCTGCTCCGTCCTCTGCCGATGCGCAGGAGGACGAGAACACGCCACCAGCAAAGAAGCCGCCCCGAACGACCAAGCCGGTCCGCAAAACCGTTGCCGATATTGTCGGCATGAATGGGAAGGTCTCTCCGCGCTCCCTGGCATACGTCGTCGTTATAGTGCGTACTCAGTTTTGGCTCTTTTGCATCTTCTTACCTTACCATCAGGTGTATCTTTGCCTCACAACCGCTACCCAATGGACCACCGAATACTACGGCGTCTCAATGCTGCAGCTGTATGACTTCATTGTGGATTTCTTCGAAGGTCCCAAACCTGGAACGGCAGCCAAGGCCCGCGCTGACGCCCTGCTCACTTGGTGGAACAAGTGTGTCGCCATCGTTCTTCCTCGCTCGCCGTTAACTTGCTTCCAGGAAAATCTTCCCATCTCACGCTGCCTCTGCCGCGACCCACCAAACGACCGTCAACTCCAGGGCCATGCTCAAAGCCCAACGCCGCGCGATGGAGCTTGAGACTGTCCAGTAGTCCTACCTATGTCGCATATAGATCTCAATCCATTTTTTGGGCCCTTTCTTTTTGGTGTGCAGCGGCAGCAAATATATATTGAGAGAGAGCTGAATACGGTGTACCCTGCGCGCATTTCCTAGCAGCCTGGCCCTGACCTGGTAATGGCTTGCAAGCGTCGACCAGGAGCCTACCGCTAGGTGAGAATCGTGCCAGGTCGCCACCTGGCAGCCGGGATATCGACAAGGGCATTGTCAGCGCGACGGCCAGCTGACCACTTTGATGGAAAGTGAATGCCGAAGATGAGTCCGTCACCTGGCGGTACCAGGCGACTCATCTGATTTCGAGAGCTGATGAGGCTGGCGAGCCTTATCTGGCCATATCTGGCCAGACCAGTGACGCACCTTTTTCCTGATGCATCCATCGGCGGGACTGGGACTGTAAATCTGTCGATTGACAGCCTTGCGTTTCACGTTTGATGCGGCTTTCCGCCAGTTTTGACCGGCCACTCAGCATCATTCGGGTCGGTAGATTGATGGTCCTCGGAGCAATTTACAGTCCTTTTGAAAGCCCGCCCGGCAGACCTCGGCGGCCTCTAAATTAATTCAAAACACGCTCCCCCCGTCTCAAATAAAAAAGGCGAAGAAGCAGGCATGTTTTTTACACCATTATCTTGGACTTTGCCTCTTCAAAATATTTTGTTCTCTCTCCAACTCGCCACTACAGACCATTCACCACTCAAATCGAGCGTCCGCTATATCGGGCCCATTACCTCATCCCTGTCTCGGTAACCCAGACGTTCGGTGTGATCCGTGATGATCAGTGATGTGTGCACCGGATCAGAAAAACAAACGCAGAGATCACACCTGAACGTCTGGGGCATTTTGTATAGTAAGACCCCCCATCGAGTCACATCCCCCTATTCCCCCTCCCTCCCTCCCTCTGTTGGGCACGGGGGTGGGTAATACTGATAGTAGCTCTGTTATAGAAGGCCTCAGAGCTTTCTCCCATCTTTTCTACCGTGTTTTGGGCTCACCCAGGGCCACTCAAAAATACATGACTTTTGCTCTCCTGCGTCTGCTCTCGACCTCCCAGCACTCGTGAAAAAATTGGAATTCATTCAGATACATTTGGAATGCATGTTTGCATCTTTATCTTGACATGCGAGGTCCCTCGCTCTTCAGTCTGCACGATATCGAGTCAAGCGTGACTTCTGGACCGTGACTCGATGGGGGGGTAACACTATACGAAATGCCCCAGACGTTCAGGTGTGATCTCTGCGTTTGTTTTTCTGATCCGGTGCACACATCACTGATCATCACGGATCACACCGAACGTCTGGGTTACCGAGACAGACCTCATCCGATCACAACCGTCAATCAGTACGGTATAAGATTTACTTCGACGACCAGTGACTACAAAATAGGTGGCATGGCGTCGGACCCGGTTTCCTGCCACGGCTGTGGTCAAACCCGATTCATGACATCTTGCCTCCTCCCGACCCCGATTCAGATTGCTGAACTCCACAATATTCTGCGCTCCAATGCTGCGTAGTCTCTCGTAGACAGACGCTTCAACAATAGGTCACCTCGTACCTCGGTTTGTTGAAGTCTGTTGGTTACCGCGGGGGTCTGATTGGATCAGGATCTTATTACATAAACTTTTTCCAAGTAAAAATGCTCGCCTTCAATGAAACTCGTCCTTCTGCCCAAAAAAACACCCCATCGGGTATTTATAACATATGAATTGGTTGTGGTATGCTTCAGGATTTTTTTGAGGAACAGGAAGTGATTTGGAATATTTTCTTCAGATCGGCCGATGGATCACGGGATTATCGGCGCTCCCTCGAAACCACGATTCGGGCCTGAGTTTTGACATTCTGAAGAGACAGGATGTTCGGGTATGGATGTAGGAATAATTCAGCATTATCAGTTTATGCAAATACACGTTGGGTTTGAAGAAGCACTCACATCGCAATTCAAACTCCGATGTTTATGTAATAAGATCCTGACCCAATCGGACCCCATCAGTAACAACAAGACTAAATGCTGCGCCACTCGAGACTATGACCGCCAGTTTTCGCAGTGCGATTGACGAGGCCCCGGGAAGCTCCACCAAAGGGTTGTCCGGAAAATTCTTGGATTTTGGCCTCAAAAACCCAATATTTTCCAACGTTCTGGAGCTCAAAAACCCAAAATCGGACAAGGCTCTCCCTTGGATGAAATTCGCCTGAAAATGCCATAAAATCAAGATAAATTGGGGAAATTTCCTGCGGGCGCAGTGTGTACTGTTGGCGGGGGACTTTACCGTTTGTTTGGTTGCTGATATGTCAGGAAGGGTTTTGGCGACTCCATGTGCCTCACCAGGTCGAAATTTTGTGGGGCCGACCTCAAAAACCCAAATTCCGGACAAGGTTTGCCAACTTTTGGCTCTGGAAAACCCAAATTTCGGACAAGGAAATGACCATTTTGAGGCCTCAAAAACCCAAATTTCCGGACAACCCCTTGGTAGAGCTTCCCGGGGCCTGATTGACGCATGCCGACCCGAGCTGGCGCGATATGATGCGGAAATTCAACGGCTGCAAACCCTTCCCTTTGGCTTCGTCTCGGATCGTGCGAACTTGGTGTCTTATATCGCGGGATGCCAGAGCGCGTTGGCCCCGATCCGACGCTTGCCCACGGAATTGTTGGCAAATATCTTCGAGATGGGTTCTCCTCCCATCGAGGTTTACAATGTTGGTGCGGAAAATACGCCCGCGCAAGAACTGGATCGCCTTGCCCAAAGACATTTGCTCCAATTATCGCAGGTGAGCTTGGTCTTATTCGCAAGCAGGCATTCAGATCTTATGTTCCTTGCAGGTATCTTCGGACTGGCACAGAGTTGTTATGAGTACACCTGGCCTGTGGTCCATCATCACAGTAGATATAACGCTGTGGGATGCATGCCCAGTGTCCTTCGAAACGCTGCTTTCCCTCCTCTCGTCTACCCTAATTCGGGGCCAGAGTTGCCCTTTGAACCTACTAGTTGTCATTGGAGACAGCGGCCACTCAGCTACGCGCCCTGTTCTGAAACTTCTGGGTCGGCATGCGCGGAGTTAGCACGACCTTACCTTCTGAATCGACTTCGACTCGATCCGGTGTTTGTCCGCTGCGAAGGGAAATCTCCACCTCCTGGACCGACTGAATCCTAATCTGCCTATGGGTGGACAGCGACAAGAAATCGATCTTTTCGAGGCAGCACCACGATTAAACGAGGTCGCGTTCTATGGACCTCCCGCCGAGATACAAAACCTTCCGTGGGGCCAGCTCCAGAAATTTCAATACAGTGCTGATACGGGTAGACGTCCTCACGATGGTTTAGCTCTCATACAGAACCTCGCCCCTGGCACGAGCTTCACATTCGACGTATCCCAAACATCGTCCCAACCGTCCGTTGACGCCGAATGGCCCCCAGTTTCGTCGGATGTATCACGGTTTATTCTCCACTTTCGTGCAGGACATTCGTCCACTCAATCAAAACATCTCGTCGGGCACGTCCTTCGATCGCTCACTCTGCGGTCCTTGCGACCCTTCGTTTTATGCACTCGCCGCTTGAACGGGACACGCCAGTCTGGCACCAACCCAGCTTCATGGACCTGGCCTCACGTTCCTCGTTCCAAAATCACCTCACTGTCCTTAAAATCTCTATCCGCATCTCAGAAGATGAACTTTTGGAATGCCTCACGGTACTACCACTATTGGAGGAGTTGTACATTACGGATCCCGCGGACGGTGGATATAATCTAATAACAGACACCCTTCTGGGAAGTCTTGAATGGGAACCCGAACAGGCTCCACTTGTTCCCCGCCTCCTATACCTATGCTCAACGTCATTCCTCCGGTTCACCGAGTCTGCATTTTTGGATTTCGTGACCTCGCGCATCGCGTGGAGATCCGACGAGGAGACGAAATTCTGTGTAGCGCTTCTGCCGTGCCCCGGGAGCAACCGCGAGTTAGGCCCTGACGCGATTGCCAGGTTATCCGAGTTGGAAGGGGAGCTGTGCTTTTCTTGGTTCCCTGCCGTGTCGCTACCTATCGTTTCCCAACCGTAGTTCCGTCAAAGACATCATTTGGGGCCTGGAGGAAGATGATTTGAGTGGAATCTCACCGACTGTGTCAGTAGATTTGGATTCCAATTACACATCCATTATGCGGGGGCGAGTTCCCAGGACTTACATGCCGCTATCCTGGCTTCTAGACGGGGAAAAAAAAATGGATTCTTTCTTCTACATGTCTTCGGGTGGATTCGAACCACCGACTCTCCGTAAGTCACTCTATGTAAAGTGGGAATGTGAGTTCCTACCCCACGAAGACTCCTTTCCTCCCTTTCTCACCTGAATAAACCGGCCAAGAAATCGGCGGCCCGTAGAAAGATGATTCGATTGGAATCTCACCCATTTCGCCGATGTGTGTTGAGTACTGTTGAGTACACATGGAGCGTGTGTTCTTATCCTAAGCTGGCCGGGCCAAAAAGATTACTGCTGTACCTTGGATGTCTTCGGGTGGATTCGAACCACCGGCTCTCCCCGCAGATATGACGACCAAGCTATGGGACGGGAGTGAGTTCCTACTCCACGAAAACGTTCCTCCTCACCTGCGAACTTGAACAAACCGGCAAAGAAATCAGGGGCACAGAAGAACTGAAACTCACTGAAGGTGTAAGAAGATTCAGATTATACATGGAACGAGTTCTTAGTTACATGTCGCGTTCTTATCCTGCCTCACCAAAATCAGCAAAGCTGGACACAAAAAAATGGCACCTCTGGAGGCCATGTCTTCGGGTGGATTCGAACCACCGGCTCTCCCCGCAAATCGCACTCGCAAATTACTCCAGGATATGGGACGGGAGTGAGCTTATATCCCACGAAGACTCTTTTTCTCCCCTGTTAACTTGAATAAACCGCCAGGAAATTAGTGGCCGAGCGGAAGATGATTCGGTTGGATTCTCACCCATTTCGTTGATGTGTTTTGAGTGCACATCGAGCGAGTTTTCCAGGCACGGTTCTTACCCTGCCTCAGCCAAAGCTGGCCGGGTCAAAAAGACTACTGCTGCCCCTGGGATGTCTTCGGGTGGATTCGAACCACCGGCTCTCCCCATAAGTCCATTTGCTAATCACCAAGTGATGGGAGCGAGTTTCTACCCCACGAACTCCCTAGCTTACCTGTGAACTTGAATAACCGCCAAAGAAATCGGCCTAAAAGGAAGATGGTTGATTTGTTGATAGGAATGTCAACGAATGTGTCCGTGGATGTTATGTCGAGTACACATCGAGCGAGTTCTCAGGCCACGGTTCTTAGCCTGCCCGAGTCCAAATCCCCAGAGCCAGAAGGAAAAAAAAAACAATGCCCGCAGATGTACGCTCCTGCAGAAATAGGTCGACCGTGCGCCCTTACTCAACGAGGACTTCCTTTGCTTAATGTGCTCGTTGGCCTGATTAACGGGCAAAAAAATCGGTCTCCCAGAGAGAACTGATGTCTGCGGGTGGGGTTGAACCACCGGCTCTCCCAATCGATGTTAGAAGGATGAGAACACACTTGGCGAGAGCGAGTTCCTACTCAACGAAGACTTCCCTACTCCCTTTTGAACCTGAATAAACTGGCAAAGAAATAAGTGGTCCGGAGGGCGATGATTCGATTAGAGTCTCACCGATTGTTGCAGTAGATTTGGATTGCAAGTATGCACCTATTGTGGGCGCGACACGAAGCTTAAGACTGTCATGTTTACTCGCTCACCTTTGGAACTCCAATAAACTGCCAAAATTCGAACCCGGAGGAAAAATCGCTCAAGAGAAACGGAAGAATGTAATTCGAACCACCGGCTCTCCCCGCAGACATGACCCCAAGACATGGGACGGGAGCGAGTAACTACTACACGAAGACTGTCCCTAGCTTACCTGTGAACCTGAATGACCGCCAAAGAAATCGGAGATGATTCGATTGGAATCTCACCGATCGTATCAGTAGATTTTGACGGGAAAAATTGAGGTCGCACAGATGCATGTCTTCGGGTGGATTCGAACCACCGGCTCGCACCGCAGATATGTCATATGACCCCAAGCTATGGGACGGGAGCGAGTTCCTACTCAACGAAGACTCCCTTACTCCCTTTGAACCTGAATAAACCGACAGGGACTTAGTGGCCCGAAGGAAGATGATTCTGGAATCTTACCCATTTCCTCGATGATGGAACGAGTTCTCAGGCCACGGTTCTCATCCTGCCTCAACCAAGACCAAAGCCGAAAAAGATTGTTGTGCCATCTTGGCTGTCTTCGGGTGGATTCGAACCACAGGCTCTCCCAGAAAATCCCCTTCCCCAAGAGCTGGGACGGGAGCGAATTCGTACTCAACGAAGACTCCCTTCCTCCCTTCTTCACCTGAATAAACCGGCAACGAACTCAACGATTCAGAGGAAGATGATTCTGGAATCTCACCCATTCCTTCGATGGGTGTTAAGTACACATGGAGCGAGTGTTCTTATCCTAAGCTGGACGGGCCAAAAAGATTATTGTTGCACCGTGGATATGTCTTCGGGTGGATTCGAACCACCGGCTCTCCCCGCAAATGATTACCAAACTATGGGACTGCAGCGAGTTCCTATCCCAAGAAGCTTCCCTAGCTTACCCATGAACTTGCATAAACAGCAAAGAAATCGGCCTAGAGGGAGATGATGCGATTGCAATCTCGCCGATGGGTGTTAAGTATACATGGACCGAGTGATCGAGCCACGGTTCTTACCCTGCCTCGACCAAAGCCGGACGGGCCAAAAAGATTGTTGCGCCATTTCCCTGGCATGTCTTCGGGTGGATTCGAACCACCGGCGCCCCCCGCAGATGTGATTACCAAGCTATGGGACAGGAGCGAGTTCCTACTCCACGAAGACTCCCTTACCCCCTTTCTCACCTGAATAAGCCGCAACAAACTCATCGGTCCGGAGGAGGATGATTCGATTGGGATCTCACCCATTTCGCCGATGGGTGTTAAGTACACATGCGCGGATTCGTAGGCCACGGTTCTTGTACCGCCGGAGCCAAAATCAGCAAAGCTGGACGAAATAAAATAAAATAGACCGAGCCCCTTACATAATGTCTTCGGGTGGATTCGAAGCACCGGCTCTCCCAGCAAATCACACTCGACACGCTAATGGGTTGGGAGCGAGTTCCTACTCAACAAAGACTTCCCTACTCCCTTTTAAATCTGAATAAACCGGCAAGCAGCGCACCCAAAGAAGATAATTCTGGAATCTCACCCATTTCGTCGATTTGTTTTGAGTACACAGGGAGCGAGTTTTCGACCGCCCTTCTTACCCTGCCTTAACCAAAGCCGGACGCGCCAAAAGGATTGCTACTCCACTTGGCATGTTTTCGGGTGGATTCGAACCACCGACTCTCCCAATAAATCACACATCTTGAGGAGTTATCTCTTGAGAGCGAGTTCCTACTCAACGAAGACTCCCTTGCCCACCTGTGAACTTGGATAACCCACAAATAAATCAGCGGGGCCGGAGGGAGACGATTCGATTGGCATCTCACCGACTGTGTCCGTAGATGTTGGATATTGAGTACACATCGAGCGGGTTCACAGGTCGTGGGTCTTACCCTGCCTCACCCAAATCTGGACGGGCCAAAAAGATAGTTGCGTTTGGCATGTCTTCGGGTGGGTTCGAACCACCGGCTCTCCCAGCAAATTCCCCTCCCCAAGAAATGGGACGGGAGCGAGTTCGTACTCCACGAAAACGTTCCTCCTCACCTGCGAACTTGAACAAACTGGCAAAGAAACCAGGGGTATAGAAGAACTGACAACGAAGTGGAAACTCACTGAGTGTGTAAGAAGATTCAGATTATACATGGAACGAGTGCTTAGGACTTGCATGCCGCGTTCTTATCCTACCTCAACCAAAATCAGCAAAGCTGGACTGAAAAAACAAATGTTACTTGTGAATGACAAGTCGTCGGGTGGATTCGAACCACCGGATCTCCCCTCCTCGACCAATGTGATGGAAGTGAGTTGCGTACTCAACGAAGACCTCCTTGCTTACTCGTCAACGTGGATAAAGCAACAAAGAAATCAGCGGGCCGGAGGGAGATGACTCGATTGAGCCAGTTTTCGATCACCTTTCTTACCCTGCCTCAACCAAAGCAAATCTAGACGCAAAGAAAAAAAAAACTGAACGCCTTCTACATGTCTTCGGGTGCATACGAACCACCTACTCTCCATAAGTCACTCTATGTGAAGTGGGAATGTCATGGGAGTGAGTTCCTACCCCACGAAGACTCTTTTGCTCACCTGTTAACTTGAATAACCCACCAAGAAATCATCGGCAACATGATTCGGAATCTCACGGATTGGGTCCGAAGATGTTGAGTACACATGGAGCGAGTTCTAGGCCACAGTGCTTGTACTGCCCGAGCGGAAATCAGCAAGGCTGGACGAAGTAAAAACAAAAGAATCGCCTCGAGTGCTATCTATGTCTTCGGGAACCACCGACTCTCCATACGTCACTCTATGTGAAATGGGAATGTCATGGGAGCGAGTTCCTACTCCACGAAGACTCCCTCGCTTACCCGGGAACTTGAATAACCCACGAAGAAATCAGCGGGCTGGAGGGCAAATGATTCCAGAACGCGAACGACGAACCGATTGTGCCAAATAGATTTCGATTCCGATTGTACATACATCGTGGGCGCACAAAGACTGTTTTTTCAACCGGACCTGAATAAACCGCCGACTTTGAATGCGGAGGAAACCAGCAGAATGTCTCCGGGTGGATTGACTCTCCCACTAATTACCTTCCTCCGGACCACGTGAGTTTCGTACCCCACCTGTGAATGCGAACAAACGGAAAAGAAAGAAACCGGCGGTGCATCCATGCCTCCAATGCCTTACGCCGCGTCCTGAATCCGCCCGACTATCCCGTCGGCACATCCCGCCAGCGAATACGTGAGCGGCAGACCCACCCCCGCGTGGATCCGGGGGGGCCGGGATGCGTGCGCACATATCGCTGCTAGCCTACCCACAACCAATCGTGGTGGTAGGAAAATGTTCGGAGGAATCAGCGGGAGAACACGAGGCGCGGAATGGCCTGATAAGTAGGAATCCGGTGTTTGCATTCTATCGCCGGTTCGAACACAAAGACCGAATGCAAGACGCAGGGGAAACAGTCTATGTTATTGAAATAGTACGTTCATTCTTGTTCTGTATATAGGTGAGACTAGAGCGATACGAACAACACGAATATGAGCAGCGAAAGCAGGGGAGAAGGCTCACAATGTCCGAGTGAGAGATGGATGCAGGTTCGGGAGTAAATCATACGCGGCAGCGCTCGAGGACTGGCTCCGCATCGGCTCCGTTCGGGCGGGGCGCAATTTGAATGGGATTGGCGGGGACTCCGGGGCCTCGGGGTGGGGCTGGGGCTGGTGCTGGAGCTGCGCGTGCTGCGGAGCGGGGCCGGAGGCGCGCTGTCGCTGCACCGTCTGCGCGTCTTGGTACATCAGGTACGAGATCATGCCCACTGCCGCATTAATTGAATCAATTGGGGTCCAAGCAGACAAGAGAAGAGAAGCGAACCGGAGAAGGGGAAGAGAAGAAAGGAGGAGGGACGCATGCGTGCCAATCAGCGCAAACGGGAGCACCATATCCAGGCCCAGCATGATGCACTTGGGTGTGAGGCAGCGCCGCAGCGTCGACAACGTGGTGTTGATCCGCGGGTGGAGACCATGCCCACTACCCCCGCAATATCGTCAGCGCGCTGTCGTCATAACGCGACAGGAAAGGGACAGGGTGCACCGGAGAGGACCCAGCAGGAGGAAGGTTGACGCCGACGAACTGCTTGTTGAGCCGCGAGACGGGGTCCGTGCCGCGCGCCGTTGTTTGCGGGATCCTATTATAAAGCCAGTGTCAGCGCGAAAGAGACGAGGGAGAAGGGAGGGGACGGACAGCATGTGGACCATGCAGAACGTCGTGGGCGTTAGAGGATCGCGATGAACTGCGCGTCGCCTGATGTGCGATGTATGAGGACGAGATGCCCGCGCATTGTCGCCCTCACAGAGGAAGACTGCGCTGAGGAACCGGGCGATTTGGGTCAGTGAGATGGCTTAGGAAACACCTGCAGTCGAATGAACTCACAGAAAAGGGGAGGAGGAAGCAAGAAGCCGCGCGCGCGATATGCCGTGATCGCCGGCATCATCGGTGATTGCCGATGGCGCAGGTCGGCTTTTTAGGGAACGGGCTGCGCTGGCCGCAGGAAAAAGGCGGAGGGAAGATGGGTCTCTTATCCTCCTCCCCATTGGATCCGGGACTAAGTCTTTCTCTTAGCCATTGCAAGTCGATTTAATCGCAAGTACGTCTGGCTCGGACCAACAATTTCCCAACCCAAGGGAGGTTGGAAAGAGGAGGAGAGACCCGATATGGCGTAGGACATTTCTCGGACCCCACAGGTGCAGAAACTGAGGAAATATTGACAGCCTGGCCAGTGTTTATGAATTGTTGTCTCTGGGCTTCCACACCCCAAACATGGCAACTGGGTGCCCACTACGCGCCATCGGGACTCAGTTCTCATCGGGGTAGCATAAATTCGATGGAGTGAGAAGCGACAAAGAAAAAAACTGTCGCCTTCCAAGCAACAACCTGATCCCGAATCGAACGGGTGTCATAGACTATATAGTACACGCCAAAACGCAGTTATGTGGGCACCCGCCTCGGGATATCAGGTCACATTCCGCGGTGTGGTGTCCTGTATTTATTCGATACTTTTTCCGACAGTGAGAGGGAAACAATTTCACAGTCCATTATGGCGGTCTAAGTGCACTTTTAATAATCCAACACTTTTATTGCAAAATTTCAACTTTCCGACACTTTTTTTTCGCTGGTTCCGACACTTTTATAGGAATTTGTACTCGTAAAAGTAAGTGTCGGAAAAGGTCAGTTTCGCGACACATTTATTGACCGGTTCAGACTTGCGACACTTTTATTGCACAGTCAAGACTTCCGACACTTTTATTGGGGTCAATTTTTTTATCCTCGGATATAGGTCCTAGGTAGTATGTGAGATAGTTCTGACTTGAGAAAGCTATGTAGAGTCCATGCAAGCACAGATACGGCCTTGTAAAGAGCAATCAGTACCAGACTCGGTTGGCCTGTCAAGCACCGGATCAATGACAGCCTTCCCACACTCCTTAGCTCAGTTGGTTCAAATTTTTTGGACCTATTTTTTGAGTTATGGGGCAGTAGAATAGGAATAGATGTCATTGACCTTGTTTCCAACCTCCTCACCTGTACTGGTGCCAAGTTCGAGTATGAAAGCATCAGGTGTGAGGAGCGTGGGAAGGCTGTCATGGTCTTGATCCGGTGCTTGATTGGCAGTCTGGTGCCGATTGCTCTTTACAAGGCCGTATCTGTACTTCCATGGACTCTACATAGCTTTCTCAAGTCAGAACTATCTCACATACTACCTAGGACCTATATCCGAGGATAAAAAAAATTGACCCCAATAAAAGTGTTCGAAGTCTTGACTGTTCAATAAAAGTGTCGCAAGTCTAAACCGGTCAATAAAGGTGTCGCAAAACTGACCTTTTCCGACACTTACTTTTACGAGTACAAATTCCTATAAAAGTGTCGGAACCAGCGAAAAAAAGTGTTGGAAAGTTGAAATTTTGCAATAAAAGTGTTGGATTATTAAAAATGCCCTTAGACCGCCATAGTCCATGAGCATAAACGGACTCCGAACCAAACGGGTGCCTCACAATACATGCCACAAGAAATAAAGCACAATGATGTGTGAATGCCCCTCACTGACCTTGAGGTCTGTTTTATATTTTGGAACAATTCTGCAGTTCCAAGCAACAAGGGCAGAAAAAACTATTCCACCACACTCTAAGGACCTGA